AATGTTCAGTTCCTGCCATTTTAGGGAGTTGTACCTAGTGTATTTATCACTTTACTCTTCACAACCAAAGGTTAGGTATTATTTCTGACATGCCATACCTCGCTGTAGTGCCCACCAACCTCCCTCTCCCTATTTCCCAGGAAACAGGCCTTAACAGGTTAAGTGTCTTGCCTGAAGTCTCATAGCTACCAAGTGGCATGGTCAGGATGATAAATGACAATTCAGGGAAGAAAAAGAGAAATTTGTGTTCACATTGCCTTTCCTGCTGTCTCCTTGGCCCATAGCCCTCTGGAGAGATCTCTGTCCAGTAACCTGTCCCTTTCTCTCTGTGGTGTAGGTTGGCTACCAAGCAGGGAGCAACGGCCAGCCCCTTCCCTCGCAGTACATGAACGACCTGGACAGCGCTTTGGTGCCGGTGATCCACGGAGGGGCCTGTCAGCTCAATGAGGGCCCTGTCATCATGGAACTCACCTTTTATATTCTGGAAAACATCGCATAAACAAAGGACTTCATTTTGTTTTCTGTTCAGATCTGTTGCAACAGCAGTCATACCCAAATCATTTGCACTTTAGAACTGGAAGATTAAGCTTTTGTTAACACTATTAATGGGGGGGTGGGATGGGGTGGGAGTGGGGGCTTGGGGGCAGGGGAGGGAAAGGGTGGTTGGGGAACAGATGTTCCATAATTCTAAGTCTTTTATGCATTGTTCACCAAGAAGATCTGGGCATATTCTGTTACTGCACAACAGTTAGGCTATCTATCTTTGCAGCTAATCCCCCTTCTGTTACTATTTAGACAAAAAGTCTGCTCCTGTTTGAATTTATGGTCTTTGTGCTCAGAAATGCTCAAATGGGTAACACCCATCACTAAGGGTGAGGTGGGAGGGCAGAGGGGAAATAAAAAATGAAGCATCAGCCTTGTACTCTTCGTACAGAATTGACATAAAAAGGAGAATTCCACAATAATCTTGTCACAGTTACATCACACTGACTTCAGGTAGCCCCACTTAGATTTTTTGTTTTTACTGGATTACTCATTGAAGTGAATCAGAGACCCAACAGATTATTTCTTTTATCAAATGAAGGGCGATTCAGTATAAATGAGGTCACTTGGATAGCACAGCCGAGCCCAGGATTGCTCAAGATCTGCCCAAGTCAGTTGGCAAGTAGTGAATTGTGAAAGCTGACAGAATACACCCAAGACATTTATAGTTATAATATATGGTGAGAGTATTTTTAAAACATTTTATTGAGAAATAGTTTAAACTTCCAAGAAAGTTGCAAGCACAAAAGAAACCTATGTATGCTTTACCTCAATCCACCTATTATTCACATATTAATATTTTTGCCTCATTTGCTTTATCAGTGTTTCTCTCTCCCTTAAATACTGAGGTATTTGAGAGTAAGCTGCATACATCATGACCATTTACCCCTAGATATTTTAATGCTTATTTCCTAAAAATAAGAACATTCTTACACAACTGCAGGAGAGTTAACTTTTTTTCCTATTTAACATTGATGTACTTTAACTTAGTACCCTATTATGACATTTTTTCCCCTCCAGGAGCTTCCAGCCTAGCCTCAGACAAGGCAAGTGGCTATCCTGACTCACTTTTATATCATCAATATTTTGGGTGAATGAATATAGGTTCCCCCATTTTTAAATACAAAATACCTCATTTTGAATTTGATTGGTGTTTCTTCTTAGAACCAGGTTATGCATTCCTGGCCAGAATTCTACCTAAGTGATGCTGTGTCCTCTTTAGGGCATCACAGCTGGGGTCACTTGTCACCTGCCCCTCACTGACGATGGTAAATTCTGATCAGCTGGTGAAAGTGCCCACCTTCCCTACTGTGCACCCCCTTGGAATGAGTAGCCAGTATCTGTAGACACACTTTCAGATGATGCAAGTATCTTATCAAAATTTCCCTTTAGATTTAGCATCCACTGATGTTTCTTATTTATCTTTTACTCCAATGACTACAAAGTGACTTCAATTCCAGCACTCCCTCCACCTTTACCAGTTGTACTTGGTCATTTGTAAGCAAAAGCCCTTTCTTTCTTCTTTCCTTTTTGTTCATTTAATTAGGACTTGTGGGTCCTATTTTGAATGGCTCTTAATTATTTTGGTTGTTTAAATGGTCTCAGCTCTGGCCAAGAGCGCCCCTTCTAGGTCCTATAATTTTTTTTTGAACACTTCCTTTTCTGGCCTAACAAGATGCTCCAGGCTCATTTTGTGCTTACCCTGCCCCAACCTTGGAATCAGCCAAGATTTGGCTTACCCATGATACATGTAATGTCTTCCAGTCATTTTCTCCTTCATTTAAAATGTATTCTGGTCATGGACCAAATGGATTTCACAACTCACAGGTAGAAAAAACACTGCTAGAGGGCAACTCGGTCCCTTGTCACTGCCATCTGAGAGCCCGGGCCAGGGAGGGAGTCAGTCCCTCTGCAGTAAAAAGCACAGCTCCAAGAATTCCCTGGAAGCTAATGTACGCCTCCGAGACAGTGAGAGGCTGCCCCCCAGTGGCTAGAGTTGGGCATAGCACTTGGCAATTACAGGCTGTTGCGGCAACTAGACGTTCTCAAAAGCCTGGTCTTTGAAGTGTGTCTAACTGGGTTTACCCCCTCTTCCACTACGCCAGGGGTCCACATTCTACATTGGTCTCTCCACAGGCTTTGCTGATGGTGGCCGCAATAACTGGGATTGATGACCTTTCCCACAGACTCAGAGGTACTTGGAACTACTATGAGGAAAAAAACTAGATTCCACAAAACACAAGCTTTTAAGGACTGAATACTGGGACTGCCTCCTGCTCCCCGCTCACCACTCCTACCCCAACAGGCATAGAAAATTGGTTAGCAGGGCAGGCATTTTGGGTGTAACATCCAGCTTGGTGTAAATACACCTCAGAAAATTGGAGCTCCTACAGGAATTGGATCTGGTTCTCTAAAGGCTATATATTTATTCTTGCTTGGGTAAATACATCTTCCAAATGTATAGATTTCTTCTGGATCAGTGTTAAGTTTTTAATGCTTCCTCTAAGGATAAACTCTGGCCCTGCACAGTCAGGTCCATTCTCAACTGCATGAAATATATCCTTTAAGTAAAATCACTTTGTAAAATTGAGCATATAATAACAAAGGCTATAGTTTACTTTTTTCCCTTGTTTTTATACACTGCATATTGTAAGAATTATATAAAGTGGAGGGCTGACACATCACGTTTCCAAGTCAGTTAACTATTTCTAGAATGTTAACTTTAAAAATTGAGGTATAGAGATTCTTACAGAGAGGAACAGAACTGAGGTATAGATTCTTATAAAGAGGACTATTCTTACAAATTAAAGTGAAGTAGAAATTAAATTTTTTAAAATTATTGAATCCTTACCAAATGCCAAGCAATGTACTTTATTTATTTTTATCAATGCTTTGTGAGCACCTAAATGGGCTTGAGGGCTATAGAACTACAGGAATTTGCCTGGTTCCTATCTAGTGTCTTCCCTCATCCATGATGGTTCCTGAACACTGGTGGACCCTAAATTTCCAACTGAACTTCTATCATAACTAGTCATCTACGAATAATTTATGATTTAATGCATTTCAAATATCAGCCATGTGCTAAACATTGTGTTTCTGTAAGTTTTGATAGTGGTTTCTATTTTAATAATAATGCTAAAATAATAATTGTAATAATACCACTAATGGGATTTTTAAGGATGGTATATGTAGCCAGAAGGGCTAAGGAGTAGAGCAGGAATGATAATGCCAGTTTTAGGGCTTGGGAAGCCGAGGCCCAGAGAGGGAAGAATCTGATGGAGCTGAACCAGGTGTAAATTCCCTGGCTCTTCCAGTCTCAGCCTACCAGTTTCATCCTAAAATGAGCTCTCTTTACTTAAGGAACATGATCTTTTAGTAGCTACCCATAAGTATTTGAAAAACAAGCTCTTATAATTTGTAAGCAACAGTGCAAGTTTCAGAATGGTGCTGTAAGAAAGGAAAATAATGTTAAAAAGTCAAAAAATAGTTTGCCCTTTAATTGTGAGCAAGACTTCCTGGTTCTAAGATAAATTTCTTCCACATTCAGTTCACTAATTCAGAAGAAAGCATGCCTTGCATCAGATTGGAGAATTTAAAATTTTTAAGTTATTTGGGTCATGGCTGGTTTCCAGCTGCCTGCTGTGTGAGTCACTAAACTCTGATGTTTGGTTGTGGCATTTTAGAAATATCTTCAGACAAGATGTGGGTGGCCAAGCTCCTCCCACTACCAGTGACACCCTGCATGCCTTGGCTCCAACAAAGGCCTTTTAAGAACCTCAGTCTCCAAGTCCAGTGGGCAGCTTTGTCTTGCCTCCTTCAGCCTGGAGGTTGTTTTCCAAAAAAGCAAAGAGCAGTGAAGCACACTGAAATGATCAGGCTGCAAAGGGGTAATCTTTGAACCACAGAAAACTTCCTGTCAAACTGAAATAGGGCATATTCAACAGAGGCTTGAGTTTAGAAATTCCTAGGGCTGGTTGGAACTTCGAGAATAACCACAACCGTCCTAACTATCTTAGTAAGCACTGGTTTGGGTACAAACCTGAGAGGGAGACAGGTTGGGCCAGCCACCCCTCTGTGCTCTAGGCTACCTTATGAAGGCTAAGGCTAACAACGCTCCTTTTCATTCTAGATGTCTGACACACAGATGTGACTGCAATTACTCAATCTGTGGAAATTTTGCTAGTTCACCCTGATAGGTAGGACTGGCCAGAAAGCTCTTGGAAAAAAGTCATTCCTGCTCTGTTACCCACTAAAGCTCTGCTCCTAAGGGCAGGGAAGCATGGTCCGGCCCTATCCTGGGAAAAGACACACACACAAAAGCTCAATCCCTGAGCTGTGCTTATGCAATACCATAGTGACTAGTAAACTGAATGTATCTGCTTCCCTAACAGCCTTTTAAAAACGATCTTGAGGAATGCTTTGTTGAATTTAAAGTCAATGCTTCACAAAGGGGGAAAAAATGGGATGTTAAAGTTTATTTCCAAGAAATGTAGAATATTGCAGTTTTGAATATTAAATCTATTGAAATTATAAATCCCTCCATTGTTTCCATCCATTCAGAAAACAAAGCCAAAGGATAATTTCTTGGGAAAGAACTAAGATTTCCCTAGGTGATCAACTGAAGAGGTAAGGTGTCCCTGGCCCTCTCTCAGAAGAAGCCATAGCAGCAGTTTGTCAATTAACAAATGTTTTACTGCTGCTCTGGCTTTTAAAAGGTGACAGAGAGCAGGGCTTTAGTTTAGAACTCTGGTGGTTACTCTGTGTGTACAGTGTAAACTCCTATAATGAATTAGACCTAGTTTCTTAAAAACAGCTACATAAAATTATATATGTGTATATATATATATACTTATATATATATTTTTTCCTCTAGTTGTTAACAGTCTTTTAGTCTCATTTATGAACCAAACCCAAGATATAAGTTGCCTTTCCCTTCCTGCCCACTACAGTCCCTCTTCCACTGAGAGCACTGGGAAGCAGGGAGGCCAGGGCAGAGCTGCACAGGCACGACATGATAGACCAAGCTGTGTGGGATAGGCCACCAGTGACCAACTGGAGTCACAGAACCCTGTCCTCCCCCCCAGCAGGGGGCTTTCCTGATCACCATCAAGTTCTCTATCCCTACAGGTCTATCTTTTAAAGGCACATCCAGAAATGCTGCAACTTGGGGCTGGGTAAGCTGCACACAGTTGGTATACACGGGTTAAGGGGCTGCAGGACTCCACACCACAGAGGAATGAGGCTCTCCGGGCTTTTACCCAGAGCAAGGAGGTGGGAGGCACTGGGGGTGTGGGTCCATCCTGGAATCCAGCTTGCTTGGACGGAGGGGCCAGCAACAGGAAAGACCAAGGCTGTGGTCAGTAATGCACATACTGAACAGGTCTTTGGTGCTTGAGTAGCAGCAGCTCCCTTACGTACAAGGGCTTCTATAGTCAGCAAAGCAGGAAGAGTGTGTGCTCCTGCACAGGCCACTGGCCTGACTCCTCTGCAGACATTAACCATCTGCACACAAGGGCACAAAGTACAGGAAGTCAATCTAAACTGCCATGAATATATAGAGTTTAGGAAAGATTTCCTGAAGATAGATCTGGAAAGGTTAATTTCCCTCCCCAGTTCTATTGAGGATCATGAGAAAAGCAGCCCAAGCCCTACCTAAAAGTTTTGCCTCTTAATGGTCTTCACAGATGAGAAATTCCTAGGCTTTCCAGCTATGAATTGAGTACTGGAGGGGTCCCTTTGGGGCCTGAGCAGGGGGCAGAGGTTCTGAGGGCCCAGAGAGCTGCCCACCTCTGAGGCCCCTGGGCTCCAGGACCAGCCAGTTCTCGGTGACCATCTGCATGTCTTGGCCACTCAGAGGCTCCCGCAGCCTCACCTTAATCTCCAGTTTGCCCCCAGTGGGTTTCCTTCCATCCAGGACCTGTGAAGACCACAGAGAGGGAGATGTAACTGAGGGGTGGGGGTTGGGAATAGACAGTTCCCTATGCTCACAGGTAAGGAATGAGAGGAGCTAAGGCTTCCTACAGGGTCAACACAGGGGCATCTATTTCATGACAACCCTGCCTGCCCTCCTGCTTTTTGGTGGTGGTGATTTTAGGGAAGTTTTATTTTAAAAGTAATACACAAATCCAAATAAGGATCAATGCTCTGAGTTAAGATGAGAAACCTGGAGCTCTGTTCACTCAGTTTTCCCATGACAACTCCTGGAAAAAATGCTCTGGTTCAAGGGGCAGCCTTAAAACCACTAAGGCCAAACTCTCACCCACACAGGTGGCCCAGTGAGAAGTAGATGATAAAGTTACACAGCCACCACATGACAGGGCCAGGCCTGGAAAGGGGGCAGCTGGAGTGCAAACCAGTGCTATAGGTTTGAGAAGTCCGACCACTGTTGAGGGGGGGGTGGCCAATGCAGAGCAGGCCCTACTTGAGAACAACTCCCACAGACAGGATGGGCGCAGGCACACAACAGTGGGGAAAATCCCAGCCTACCAAGGCATCAGCAAGGTCCGAGCCAAGCCCTGCCAGGGACACAATGTATGAACTTGGGTAACACCTTTCTCCTCACCGGACCTGTTTTCTCATCTGCCAGAGACAAGCTCAAAGTCCTTGCCTGTGAAATTCCATGAGTTCATGGAAGCTTAAGGAGCTATCTGGGGCTGATTTCTAAACACTGGCTGTGTTCTGCTGGGTTCCTGGTCTGGAAATACATCAACTTTATGTCCAGGGCTTGTTCTACTTTATCATGTTGCCAGGAAACTGCCCCAAATAAAACTTAGCCCACCAAAACCTAGGAATTTGTGTGTGCCAAGCTGACACAATAGACAGATACCTCAAGGGCCCTCTGACCCATTGCTGGAAACTTGAGTGGCCGAGTACTGTACAAAGAGTACAGCTACTTCCTGCCTGGGTAGCAATATGAAATTTTCTCAGTTCCACTGAATCTCTTTGTATTTGAAATGGGAATAGACTTACTTTGTAGCATGCTAACCAGTATTTTTAGACACAAAAAAACTACCATAGGGACTGATGGTCAATTAACCTTGGCTCTTCACTTGCCAAGTCCTCCGGTTTGCCGACCCTACCTCCACAATCTCTCTGATCTCACATTCATTCTCCAACCGCTCTAGTTTCAGGTGGGCTGTGCCGACCAGCTTGTCACTTCTGAAGAAGGATCTGGGGAGCCAAGAGTCAGCATTCAGGGTAGGCAGGAATGAGCTGGCGGGCCCCAGTGATCAGGGAAAACAGAGTTGTAGCAAGGCCAGCCGCAGCAAGAGAGGTCACCCTTCCGCTCAGCCCACCCGAGCAGTACGACAGATAGCTGCACCTCACCCTTTGTGGAAGATTTCAAACTTGATTCCTTTGCTTTGGATCACTCTCCTGAAGCTCCGATGGTTTCGGTTGATGTTTAGTTTGAAGAGCTGATCAAATTCTGCAGGAGGTGGAAAAGACAAGAAGGGGCTTGGCTCCCACAAACTTCTTAAGGAAGTGGAAAGAAGAGGCCCAGGACTGGCCTCCCAGCTTGATCTCACTGCCTGCAATTCAGAGTGGCTGCCACCAGAGGATGGTAGGGAGTCTAGGTCCTGGCTTTGAAATCTACTCGGTCAGTATTCATACTCTTGACAGACAGAAATTATACCCAAGTGTTGGAAAGACCTGGAATCTGGAGTGAGGTCCCATTTCCACCACTAACCTTCGGCAAGTCCCTTTACCTCTCTGAGCCTCAGTTCCCCCATTTACAATACAGGAGTCGTAATACCTGCCTTTATCTCCCAGGTTGAGTAGACCAGGTAAGGCAACAGATCTGAAAGCAGTTTGAAAACACAAGAGCTGCCCACATATATCAGAGTGAGAAAAGAGAAAGCAGCCCTCACCTGGAGAGTTTGTGTTCTTCACCACAGCTGTTTTGCTTTTCTGAGCCTGGTCCTAAAGCAGTAAGAAGCAAAAAGTCAAGGACAGCTCGAAAAAAGAGAGATATATAGGGCTAGGAACTCCAAGCTAAGTCAGTGTTGAGGGAAGTGACACCTGTAGGGAGTGGGCCCAGAGGTCTTCAAACTCCTCCCTGTAGACAGACCTCCCAGGGATGGGGAGAAGTTGAACACAAGGTCCTGGAAGGGGAATGGGATTCAGAAGATCCTACCTCTGCCTGAACCTCACCGAGTTAGGGTAGTGGAACTCAAACCGCACAAAGGCATCCAAGTCATCAGGGGTCACCCCTATGAAGGGGAAATGGGAGTTAGGGTCACAGCAAGTAGCCAGGAGCCCAGCACCTGATGTGGACAGAGCCAGAGAGCCAGTGCCTCTTTACTGGCTGGGGGTGGAGTGTCTGGCCACGAGCCTCCTGGAGAAGGCTGGCCCTAAGGCTACCTGGAGGGGCTGGGAGGTTCATTCCCCGGACAATGATCAGGTGCATTTCTGTGCTGTTGAGTTCTGAGAAGATCCTATAGCCACGAAGCAAGGAGAAAGAGCACAAAGTAAAGGACAGCAATGGAAAAAAGTCCCCCCTTCTAGTGCCTGCCTGCCTAGCCAGATGGTGGCTGGGAGGAGAGTGGGCTCAGGAAGGCAAAGCTTATCTGGGCCCGCAGAGGCAGAGCTGGCACACAGACCTTGGTCCTTGAGCCCCCAGGTGAGAACTTCCAGTCACCACACAGCTCTGAACTCCTCACAGGCAGGCACCATGTCCTATTCCATCTCAGCCTTGGTACCTACAGCAGGGCCAAGCCTGGGAAGCTGCTAAAGGGGCCTATGTCTCCAGCCTTGGCTCCAGCCTCTTGCCCCATCCCTGCCTGGAGCTACTGTCTCCCTTAGACTTTGGTACCTCACAGTCTGGAATGTCTTCAACTCAAAGTGGTGGCTGGGAGGGTCAAGGCCCTGGGCCTGGGCCAGCTGCAGGATCTCAAGCTGCTGCTTGCGGTCCTGAGCAAGCTTCTCAAACCTGAGAGGGATGGGCACATGTCAGCATGGCAGGGCTTATTTTCTGCTCCCTACCCCATAAGCCCAAGCCCCAGCCCTTTCACTTACCGGGTAGTCTCGGCCACATTGCCCTGGTGCATGAACTGCTTGGAGAACAGCAGACACTTCTGAAAATGGGGGCTCAGAGTGACTCCAGAGCCCAGAGCAGAACCTGTCTAGGTTGGCACTGGAGGCCTGACTTCTGAAAGCCCCAACTTTCTATAGCCTCACCCTTCTTCCCCAACACATACCCCAAGATCACTGTTCCCAACTCCTATCATACTTTCCTGCTTAAGTTTCTGTTGCTTTCTCTGAGGGCAGCCATACCCCAAAATTCACTTAGCAAACTCCTATTCTTCAAAACCTACCAGAAACATCACTTCAAAAGGCAGACTCCCAGACAGCAGTTAATGTAAATACACACATACACAAACATGGGTAGGTAATTGTATATATGCATTATTTAACTGTCTCCCCTAACACTTCTTCCTCCTATCTTCAAAGTACTTTTCCCTCCACCCTACCTCATAACCACCCTGAAAGAAGGGAATTAATCATCCACTTTACACATAAGGAAATATGGTTCAGAGAAGAAAAGTGGCTTGCCCAAGGTCACATAGCCAGTAAGCTGAACAGCCAGAATTAGAATCCAGGCCTATCTGGTCTGAGCCCCATGCCTTTCCCCAAAGGGAAGGTGTGGGCACAGAAAGGGGAGATACATGTGCAGTCTACTGACCTCATGTTGCTCCAGAAGCATTTTTTGTAGCTGGGCATACACCTCTTCAGCTTTCTGGGAGAGTCTCAGGTCCTCATAGTGAATGAGGATGAAGTCACCCTCCTCGTCCGTCAAGGGTGAAGGTACCTGCCCAGGTCACAAGGCCCCCCCAGGGGCCCCAAGAGATTACTCCTTTACAGAGCCTCACGCAGGAATCCAAACCAAAAGTTTCTCCAGTTTCTACTAACCTCCAGTGATGGAAACTCACTGCCCCCATTCTATCCAGGCTGCTACAATGCTCTGCTTTCTACTGGCCTTGTCCTGCCTTGTCATCTCTGACCACAGGCAGCCCACTTGGCCTTCCCTGACCTCTTTGGGGCCATGGGATAGACAGATGCATGCATAAGCATAAGGCTCTTTCCCAGCTATCAGCATGTCCTATCCAAGTCCTGCCTTCTCTAAGAAGCTGCCTTATTTACATCCCTGCCCATCAAGCCTACCACATGCCTCTGCCTGAAAAGGCCTGCTGCTTCACCAGATGAGACTCACCTTGGAGAGGTCCACAGGTTGGCCGGCTCGGACCTGGGTGATCTGAGCCTCAAGGCATTTGGCCACCCGCAGATGAGCCTTGGCCTGCTCCAGGTCCTGGGCACGTTTGGCCTGCAGGGCTGCCCGCTGGTACTGCTGTTTCCGTGCCTCTAGAAGTGCCAGCTGCTCCCGCGCTGAGAGAGGAGGACACCGCTTAGAGGCATGCCTGCCCCTCACCAGAGGCTTCACTCCTCCAGCCTCTTCTCCCCAACTCACCAGAGGGACTCAGTGGCTCCTTAGAACTTGACACCTTGGGCTCAGGCAGGGGCCGGGATGAAGGGACCAGCGGCTGTGCTGGCTTCTTGGCAACTGGGGCCTGGGCTGGGGGCTCATCCTGCAAGTGCCCAGGAGGCTGTCCCAAGGAATCTGTTCCCCGCCTTGGCCTTGGCAGCTCCTAGACTCAGGCTCTCTACCTAAGGCTGTACTAACTCACTGTGTGATCGGAGATGAATGGTTTTCCCTCATGGGCTCTAGAGAATCTGAGCTAGAAGCCTCAAAAGCTCTCTGAGCAGGGTAAGGGGGATCAAACCTGGGCTCTGGAGTCAGAAAGACCTTGGTTTGACTCTAGCTCTGCTAATTCCTAGTTGGGTGCCCTTAGCCACATTTTTTCTCTGTAAAATTGAAGAAAGAATACCTACCTACCTTGCTGGGCTTATTAGTAGGGACAACAACAGGGTTTGGGCTTACCCCTCATGTGCTGTTTCCCCCAACCAAACCCTGGAGTCTCCAGCCCTCAGCCAAACCTCGTCCTCATCCCCATCTTCCTCTGCCAGGGCTGTATCCGCCAAGGAGGCCAGTTTCCGGGCAGCTGCCACTACATCCTCCTCAGTGCCTGCAGGGGGTGCCAGGCCAGGGACTGGGGGGAATCCTGTCAGAGAGAGATGGGGGCGTGAGAGGGGTAGGTAGTCTCAGGAAAGCACTAGGCCTCTGTGGGCCCTCGCTGTGTTTTCCTGGGCATTGCTGGGATGGGTGGCTCCCACAAAGTACAGGCACATACATGAAAGATCATCTCCCCAGCCCTGCACCTTGCTCAGACCTCCTCATCACCCCCAAGGCCAAGCCACTCACCTGGAGGAACAGGCAACTCAGCAAAGTCAACTTTCCGTCCTGCTTGGTGTGCTCGGATGGCATCTTGATATTGCTGCAAGGGAAAGACAGGAGGGACCTGTGGTGGGTGGCAGTCTGCAGGCTCCATGCAGGGGGAGACCAGGAGAGGAAGGCTGAAAGCAGCCCCAGGAGGGAGGACTGCCCCTGGCAGCAAGAGTTCCAGAGACAGACAGACAGAAACACAGAAACTCAAAGACCAGGGCTAGCTGTGGGAACAGGCAGATACAGGACAGCCAGCCTAGGAGAGAGGCTGACACAGGCTGGGACTGTGTGGCCGTGGGCCCACCTTGGCAATGCGCTTGTGCATCCGGGCCTTGCGCTCATCACCACTGCCCCGGGCCTGGATGCCTGCCTCCTGGTACCTGGTCAGCCTCTGCTGCAGGACATCCAGCACTGTCTGTGGCTCAGCAGAGGCCACTTAAAAGGAGGAAGGAGATGGCATCAGCTCTGCCTGCCTCTCCCTAGGTCCCCACTTCATAGTCCCACCATCCCATCCTACCTGGGGCTGCTGGGCTGGAAGGGGCCATCACTGGCTGCACTTGGTCCACTACTGGGGGTACGACTGAGGGTGCTGTGGGAGCCTTACAAGCCTGTGGGTGGAGCTTCAAGTCTGAAGGCCCCAGAGCAGAGGTGTAGGTAGGATTGCCACGCCAGCCCCAGCCCTGAAACTCTTCCCCAAACCCAGCCCCAGTCTCGGCTAGTTCCCCCACCATCCCCATGCTGACCCTCAGGTGCTGGGGGCATGGCACTCAGGTCCACAGGCTGCCCCTTCTCCAGGGCCTCCAGGACGGCTCCAAATCTCTGCAGGAAAAAAAGCAGGTGTGGACATAAGCCAGGGAACTCCAAGAATCCGGGCAGAAAAAACTCCAGTTTTTCCAGTCTCACTTGAGTCCCGTTTAGCTGCATGACCTTGAGCAGGTCACTGCCCCATCTGTGGAATGAGGGATTGGACACAGGGCCTCTGAACCAAATGTTGTACCTTCCCAATCCTCATGAGCTCTCGGGCACGGTCTAGGTCTCCAGCCCGTTTGGCGTTCAGGGCAGCCACTTTGTATTCTCTCTGTCGGGCTGACAGCAGCGCCCGTGGGTCGGGGTCTGGATCACGTGGGACAGAAATACCAGGACTGCCCAAGAGGCTCGTCTCAGGCCGGGAGAGGCTGTCTATGAAGAAACAAAAAGCCTACAGACACGGCATGAGGATCAAAGAAGGAGCACACCTTGGGTTCCCAGCACTCACGGTTGTCCTGAGAACCTCTCAGGGCAGGTGCAACTCCTGATAATGGGCAATAGCAAGACAGGGAGGCCAGCCATGGACCCTGACCTTGGGAACAAGGGAGGATGTGTCTCCAGCTACCTGGCTCCAAGGTGGGGGGAGCTGGGGAGTCTTCCTCAGGGCTCCTGCCAGCTGCTTCCTGGGGGGCCATGGGCTTCTTGCCCAAGGCCACCGGAGGTGGGATCTCATCCTCACTGATCTTCCTGCCTTTCCTCACAGCAGCCAGCTGAGACTCCAGAGTCTAGGGAGGGAAGAACCAGAAACCCAGCCAGTCATCTCGGCCTGGACCCTGCTTAAAGACAGGCCAGGGATCTTTCACCTCCATAGGACTAGTGGGAAAGCACCCCCTCTACTGGCCAAACCTCCTGCTGTTTTACCCACTGCCCTCAGCCCACTCATTCCAGCCCTGCTGTCTGACCAGGCCCAACCCACCTTCAGGCCGCGCTCACAGCGCCTGGCTTTGGCTGCTTCACCTGCCTCCTTGGCACTAGCCACAGCCTCCCGGTAGTTGTGGATTCGATCCTCCAGCAGAGTCTGTAGTCCTCGAGACCCTCCAGCCTGTAGATACTTCAGTTCAGGGCCTGGGCGCTCCAGGGCCAACTGGGCCCTTGCTACCCCCTTCCTGCAAAGATGCTGCCTCAGAAAACAGAGCTTGGATTCAAGGAGAAAGAAGAGCCTTGAGGCTTTTAAGCCTCAAGATGGGAGGCAAAGACTCAGTGGAGGGGCTAGTGACCATGTCAGAGGCCCAGACAATCTGTAGAGGCCAGGAAATGGCTGCAGGGGTTGGTCTGGGAGAACAGAAAGGTCTTTGAGGACAGCCAGCCACCAGAGTTCCTCGCGCTCAGGCTCTGCTTGGGACAGCTGCTGGAGGGCCCTGGAAAGGGATCCTGCAACCTGCCTATGCAAGCTAACCATGTGCATGTTACACAGGGACACATAGGGTCCTTCCGGCACATACCTGAGCCGCTGGGACTGAAGCTGTCAGAAGAGTTGCCTGCACTGTAGATTCAGTATTTTCTTGTCCCTTCTCCTCCTCAGAGCCACCCAGGCTGGCTGTCTCATTGCCTTTGAGGGGTCCAGCCTTCTCATCTGTACCCAGGACCTCCTGCAGCTCAGTCTAGGGAGACACAAATCCCAGAAGCTTTGGAACTTCATGGCCATGCCCACGACGGGTAAGACAATAACAGACCCCCTCCCCAGCAGTTATTTCGCAACATCAGTCCTGTGCCTCAAGTCCCCTTTAGCAAAATAGTCCTTTAGTATAACCAAGAACAGCCTTGAAAACAGAGAAAACTCTAAATCTGAGAATCCCCAAGTGCAGAGCTCAGAGCAGGTATCAAAGGAGACTAGTCTTATGCTGTATAATCATCAAAACAGGCCCAAGAAGGGCAAGGAACTCCCTGACCATCAGGGCACACAGGACACACCCCAGGCCTCCCACACAGGCGTGACCAGAGCCCTTGGACACCAGCCCTTCTGCAGACGCACCAGCAAGTCTGCATCTTCCTCCAGCCCTTCCTCCTCTTCCTCCTCCACATCCCGCATACAGTCTGCTGCCAACTTCTCAATGTGGGCCATAGGCAGAGGGGCTGGGGAAGAAGGCACAGAGGGTCAGGGCAACTCAAAATTCTAAGGTCCATGAGGAGGGTCTTCAATCCATTGTCTGGTAGAAATCCTCCTTCCCTTCCACAGGTGAGGTCCCACCGGGAGAAGTGCTCTTCCTTTATCACCCAGCTTGAAAGCCTCTCAGCAGGGAAGCCTTCCTGGGCCCTCCAACAGGCAATGAGCTGCTCTCTTAGCACTTCTGCTGTAGTAGTTATTCATGGACATATGTATCCACTCCCCCTAAGCATACCTTTCACATATGTAAAGATTTTCAATGTCCATTTGAGCATCACAATGATTCTGCAAGATAGGTAATGTTACTCCTACTTCACACATGAGTAAACTGAGAACTACCAATATTAATTTTCCCAATATTGTAATCCCAGTGAGTGGCAGACCCAATATTAAACACAAGCTCATCTAACCCCAAAGCAGGTTTGGACTGAAAGAGAAGTGAGAGCCATGGTTCCCCTAGTGGACCCCTTCCCAGATCCCCACCACTGTCCTCAACTCAGGGGCACATGGGATGGGAGGTGGTCCTCTAGGAGGGTTCCCAGTAAGAAGAGAGGAAGATTTAGATATTCAGGGGAGGGAGATTCCATTTATTCATTCATTAGACACAATTGCTATGCATTTCTAATGTGTCTAATTTGGTCTATGCTGAGCTCTTACTCTATACCAGGCCTTGGCTAGGGCTAAGGACTGGGACCTCAGTCAGTCTGAGAAGCAGGTTGCTGATTGTCTGAAATGAGGGTGGAGACAGGGTGTAGTCAGGAAAGTCACATGGGTATATGAGCAGGCCAAGATGGCTCTTGGTGGGAGTGCTGCAAAAGGGACAGATGTCAGAAGGCCCAGGTGATCTGGCTGGCTCTTCCCAGCTGAGAGAAGAGGAACCTCTCCTCTTCCACCACCTGGCCCTACCACCAAGCCAGCCCAGTGCCACAGACTCACCCTGCCCCTTGGATGCTGGCTTTGTGCCTATGGTGCCCGCTTCCCCAGTGAGGGCTAGCAGCTCAGCTTCCAGGTCCCTATCATCCTCAGGCTCCTCCGTCCCCAGCAGCATGTCCTCAGGGTTGAACTCCATAAAGAGCCCCAGCTGAGAGCAGAGAGGGGTTAATAGGAGCTGCAAAATGAGGCAGGGGGTGCAGCCCAGCCCCAGAGCTGGTCTCTGGTGTTCAGTGGCTCCCTGACTGACTCTGAGGTCCAGTGTGCAGAAAGGGAAACTGAGGCCCACAACAGGACCCTTTGGGACACTTCTCTCCCTGATGACACTACAAAGAACCTAGGACTCCACTGCCATTACTGTTACAACAGTAAGAGCCCTGGCTACTAGGCCCTGTACTTAGCATTCCATATGATCATCTTAGTTAATTCTCACAATCCTGAGAGACAGGCTCTATTTTTTCTTAATTGTGGTAAGACAAACACATAACATGAAAATTACTATCTTAACTATTTTTCAGTATAGAGTTCTGTGGCATCAAGTACATTCACATTGCATTACTATCACCCCACCCCCCACCAAAGAACTCTTTTCATCTTACTAAACAACTGCCCTTTTCCTCCTCCCCTCTAGCCCCTGGGAAACCACCATTCTCTTTTCTGTCTCTGTGAATTTGACTATTCCAGGTAAAGGTAGGCCCTATTTTTATCTCCATGATCTGATGAAACAGGCTGCCTTGTAAGTGTCAGAGCTAGAATTTAAAATAAAGGTCTTGTGACTTGAGTCTATGTCCTTTACCCCACCTTCTATTACCTGCCTCTTTTAAGGCAATAAAAATGTGCTAAGAAGTCTTAGCACTTGGGCCCAGAAAAAATAAGGGGAGCAGATTAGAGACTGACCCCCTCAGCCTCCCACTGGGCCACACAGCCCTCTAGTCCCTAAGCAGCAAAACTTTCCCAGTGGTCACAGCCCTCAAGTTCTGGCATCTAGCTGGCAAGCAAAAGTAGGGACCTAAATGAAGAACCCCTAAGAGCATCAAGGCCCCATCAAAACACCCTACACTTTGGCTCCTGAAACCTCCAGATCACTAATATGGATGTGGCCTTAGCAGGAGGATACCTGGGTTTAAACACAGGAGAGCTCAGGCCTCCTCTCCCACATGTGTGTGGAAGGGGCTAGTCAGAGGGTCTTGAAGGGCTCTGCCAACTTCAGGAGGCACTCTCAAAGCATCTGGACTAATGCAGAAACCCATACAGGTGACCCAATGTGCCCAACCTGCCTAGAGACCCCCACCCCAGCCTAGCCCAGGGGTGAAGGAAGCTATATCCATACCTGTTTGGCAGCTGCCACACCCTGGCCACTGGTATGAGGGCCCTTCCGAGGTCTTGGCCCTGGCATCTTGGCAGCCTAGATACCTGTCTGGTGGGCAGTGGAAGAGACTCAGACTGAAGCACCCTACAAGTGCTACCTGTTGTAAGGGGTAGTTAGTAAACTCCAAATCAGAGACAGAAGGCAATGCTTAACAAAGGATGAAATACTAATTGTAGCACTGAAGTAAGCAACATGGAAATGGAAGGGATGAAGACTATCTTTCATGGGTTTAAGTGGGGAGTGTGGATACAACAAAGAGTTACTTAAGTGACTGCCAAATCTGGATTAAAACCAAGAGGTTGGGGGGCCCTAGGAAGTAAAATTCAGGGAAATAACTCTAGGTACAGGGTGGGTCCTAGGCTAGGTAGGATTCAGAAAGGCTGTAAAGCTGTGCTGTGAAATACGGTAGCCAAATGTGGTCATTTAAATTAAAATTAAAATTAAAATTTACTTTTAGCGAGTTTTAAAAATAAACTTTTAAATTAATATAATTTTTTTGTTCTTCAGCTAGTGGCTACCATTGGCCAGCACGAATATGGGACATTTCTTTTCTGGAGAAATCTGATTCAGCATTCTGCTTCTCTTAGAGATCTCACAGCATCTGCAGGACCTAATGGGTGTCACACCTGTGCTGGGCACTGGGAGACTAGGAATTAATCTGACATGGTCTCAGCCCTCAGGAAATGTTGGGAGATACAATGGTGGAGATAGCCGTTGACGAATGGACACAACCCACACAGGGCTGCTCCAGGGGCGGCCACATATGCGGCACACAGAGAAAAGGCTTCTTGGAGAAGGTGGCGTCTGTGCTGAGTCATTTAGAATTTGGAGGAAAGAAAGGGCAAGGGATTCCAAACAGCGAAAACCACCTGATAATGGTTCCGAGATAGCCTGCACAAGGAAACTAAAGAACCAGAGGTACTGGGGGCATAAAGTGTGAGACAAGTAAAGGAACAAGCTAAGTTGAAAATGTGAGCAAGGGGTAAACAGAAAAACCTTTAAGCCTAAAGGAGTTGGGACACTATTTTGAGGGCAATGGACGTGATGGGTCAGGTTGGCGATTCTGAAACATGCCAACGGCTGCAGAAGGGAAGGAGGTAGGAGGGAGAATGGAGGCTGGAAGCCGCCTCGGTAGTGTGCGTATTGCAACCGTCTGGCGAAAGATGGGGGTAGCGCTGGGGGTGGAGCGAAGTGGATGAATTCCAGAGTTAGGGGGTAAAGTCAACAGGGCTCCAAGATTAACTGATGTGGGCGCACGGGAGGGGGCGCTCAGGGTGACTCCGAGCGTCAGCTTTCGGTGACTTGGGTGAATGCGGGAGTCAGCTGAGCGGGGGGCGCAGAGTGAGCGGGCTCACGGAAAAACGAGGTCGGCCAACCATGCAGGTCTGCGGCTCCGGGAGCCCCGGGCGGCTGCATCGGTGCTGGAACCACACGCGGACTCACAGGAGGAGGCAGCGCAGAGCGCAGGGGAGGCGAGGCCGGAGGGCCCACTCCCGCGCGGCAGGACGCACCGCCCTGCCCTGCCCCAGCCGCCTCCATCGACCCGGTCGACCCCGTTTCTCCCCTCACCGGGGGACGGGTACGCTGCATACCTCACGGCTGATCCAAAACCTACCCGGGCCTTGTCCCACCCGGCACCGCCCGGGCCGCGGCGGCGGCTGTGACAGGAAGCTACCCCGCGGGAAACGGATCGCCCTACCACGTGACTCCACAGAGGCGCGCGACACGCATGCGCAAGACGAGGCGGGCGTGGCGTTCCAACAGGTGACTCCCAAGGCTGGGTTTCTCGGCGTGCAGGCGCCTGCAGGCAGGTAGTATGAGGCTTGCTGTGGATTGTTGTGGGGGGTGATCCCGCTGCTTGTGTAAATACCGAAGGTGCGCCCCCTTCTCTCGCTCAGTTACAATTACTCCGCCAAGCTTACCCCTATACTTCCCACTCCGAGGGTCCTGGGGGCACGTTCGCCCGGCCTAGGAAGCCACTCATCCTCGCCCTGCCCCTTCGGCGTGGGGTCGGGGCTTGGAGGCACCTCTCCGTGTGCCACTTTGTTGGTGTGCTTTATAATCGGTCCTCTAGGAAAATGGGACCGTGTTTCTTAATCATTCCGCACCTGAATGTGCTTTTTCCAATCAGAACGCGGACTGAATACTTAAAATAGGACAGTGCTCACTACACCTCTTCCTGAAGTCATTTCAGACAGCTTAACACCAAATTCTTAGCCCCTGCCCAGCAGGGCAGTAAAACGGCGTGGGAGGGTCGTTCAAGAGACTCTTCCATCTAAAATCTTGCAACTCATTCCTAACTCCTTAAACGTTTAAAATTATAACTGTTTTGTAGTTAGCGGTTTCAAACATGTAGTTTTTTTGAACAAACGTTTTGGGTGATTTCCCAAAGAAACCGACTTTACCATTTTAAAATTTAAGTTTCACTCCATATTTCTTCTCATAAATTTTTTTACCGTATAAATATTCAAGATATACACAAAGATATACACTATTTCACATTTGCTAGAATACGAGCTCCATAAAGGCAGTTGTTTTGTTCTCTTATCTCCAGTGTCTAGACTAGTGCATGGGTTCCTATTTCTTGTGTGAATTAACATAAAACATAGGCACCTACTGTAACTTTAAGAAAAAAAAATACAGTAGTTAAAGCCCTCTCATGCTGCAACCCTTTCCCAAAGAGACAATAGCCCTTTCCTGAATTTGGCGTTCATAATTCCTGAGCATTTCTATTTCTAATAAGTATATATCCTGAAGCAACCTATAGTTATTTTTTTTGGAAGCTGTAACATTTTATCTTTGGTATCCCCGGCATATATTCTTCAGTTTCTTTTTCTACTCAACCCTGTTTGTAAGCTTCATCTGCATTGATACTTATACATCTAATTATTTTTCATATCTGTATGGTATTTCATAGTATGAAAATAACTTTTCTAATGGCTTGCCATAATTACAGCGCTATGAACATTCAACACACCTCCTGGTGTACACATGGGTTTCTCTACAGCATCTGCCTAGAAGTGGAATTCCTGGCTCATACATAGGATTTCTTTTTCCAGACTCATTATTACCCAAATTATCTCCAAAGCAGTAGTTCCAGTTTACATTCCCATCAGTTGGAAATTTGGGTTCCAACTGTTGCATATCATCATCGAAAGATTTTCTAATAAATGTGAAAGGTTGACTTGTAGACCTTTTTTACTGTTTCCATGTTGTTGGTCATTCATGTTTCTTATTCTGTGGATGACTGATTTACCTATTTTTCTTTTCTTTACTGTGTAATGCTTTCAAATACTGATACTGATCCTTAGCCCATTACATGTAGTTATAAATATTTGTATATAATACCTACGCATTTTTTTCTGAACTATGAGAATTAGTTGCAGATGTTTTATTATACTCAGATATTTCATCATAATTCTCTTAATAAGGGCATTCTAATAACCACAATAATTTGTCACATAAAATTTAACATTCACATGATACTATTACCTAATATGAATATAGCCCATAATAATATTTGTATCTTCTAAATTCATGACCCAATCAAGGTTCACACAGTGTATTTAGCTATTTAGCTCTCACATCTCTGTTCTCCCTTAGTTTAGAATAGTTCCTCCATGTTGGGGTTTTTTTTTGTCTTTTGTGATAGTGGTATTTTTGAAGAAAAGCAGTTGCTTTGCAGAATATTTTCTCTCAATTTTATTTGATTATTAACAGATTCAGGTCAAGCATTTCTGGCAGGACTATTACATGGGTGATATGTTTTTCTCAGAGCCTGACACAGGGAGGCCTTGGGTATCAGTTTGTTCAATTGTTGGTTTCCATCTAAATATGAGAATTAATTTGCAAAGTTATGCAAAAACCCTGCAAGGTTTTGACTAGAATTGATTTGTATTTAGGGATTAATTATATCTTTTCATTAGATGTACTCCTACATAATTTATATTCTCTGTCACATGGTTTTTATTTAAAGATTTGTTCTTAATGATAAATGGTTCCTCTTTAAAAATTACATTTTCTATCTATTTGTTGCTAGGCATTGTTTGTCACATATTATTTCCAGCAGCTCTTTTTTATAAACTATAATTGTTACATTCATTGTTCAAAAGTTAAAAGATACAGTGAAAATCTTCCTCTAAACCCTGACTCTAGCTACCCTGTTCTTTCCCAGAAGCAACCAATATAACCAGTTTCTTACATGTTCTCCTAGAACTGTTTTATATATACAAGTTATTGTGTACATATACACATAATTGTGTACACATAATTTATATACATAGTATGTTACCATTAAATAAATGCCAGAGCCACTAACAGAAATGAAAGTCAGCAGGAAGGCCTACTGTAGAAAGAATGGTTTGTTTTTATAATCTGATGTTCTATAATGACTGTAACTTCCCAAACACTTGGGAAAAATCAAATTATTTAATGGAAAATTCCAAAACACAAGACCACCATTTTCATTCAGTGTACTCTGCTGCAACAGTTCCATGTGCTTAGAAAAAGGATCTTGGGCTCTTGAGAAACAGCAGATGACAGTTCTTCCCTGTGAAGCCCTTCACACTTCCTTCAGTGCATACAACACATCATCCCGGCTGACATTGAGCCGCACACGAAGCAGCAGGTCATTCCTGCTGGGCTCCACGAGGAGGAGGCGGCAGGAGCCCAGGTGAGAGCATACTGCCATGGTCTCTGACATGGTGGGGTATGGAAGTCCCTCCATCCTGCACAGTGCCACGTGTTGACGGTATACCTGGAAATAAAAAAGCAAATCCCAGGTCAACTGCTGGAAAGGTTAAGAGGAAGGGTAGTCCTGTGTCGCATCTGATCATTTATTTCTTCATTTGGAAAACCAGACACTTCCTGTCCAGGATACTCAATACCTTGGAAGGCATCAGTGGGTCCCCCAATGGGGCACAAATGCAGGGACAGAATGCAACACTGGCCTCGGAAACAGCGAACATCCGGTCTGAATCTTGCTTGGTTCTACCAATTACCTAAAGAAGTGACCTGGGCAAGTTATTTCACTTTTTGAGCTTCAGTTTTCTCTCTTAAATGTACCGCCACCTTCCTCAAATATTTAAAATGTCTAATAACTGTCACTATTATATAAGCAGTCCTAGTCTCCACAAGCTGAGAGTTCCAATTGAGATTGTCATAATTTAAGTCAAATTTTGCTGCAAGGGCATTTTTCTCAGCAGATACAGCACACAGGTGCCAAGGCATGACCTTTAGAAAAGCACAAAGGCTCACAGAGAATACTGAATCTGAATAAAGAGAGGCAGGAGAATAGCTGGAAACACACATTCCTAAGCCCCCCCCGCCCCCACCCCCCGCATATGGGCCAGGCTCTGTAGTGCTTCCTGGCCACTTTCTGTTCTAACCAGGTGTAAGTCTATACCCCATACTCTTCTTCATCAAGACTGGGAGATGATCAGGAGCAGGGATATTAACCAATTCAGCTTAGGGTTCCCAGTGCACCTCACTGTTACTGGCACACTGTATATGTTCAGGAAATGTTTACAAATGAAAATCAAAGTCACTCTCTGCAGAAGAGCTGTCTTAGGCTCCAGAAGGAGAAAAATTTACAGCAAAGCATAATCAGCAACTAAATGTTTAAGAAGAAGAATTTAAAGAAGTAAAGAAAACCTGAAAGGTTGCAAATTAGTAGTATGTAGAAGGAAAATGTTTCCCTGACCTCTCAATTTGTGTCTAAAACATATTCATACACACACGTAGGTATACACACTCCAACACCTTTAACAATTCATCTTCTAAGGCAGCTCATTACCTATGAACGCTGGTTTTAAATAAACCTCTAAGGCACAAGCCATAATGAGACTTTTTACTCAATATAACTGAGACTATGTTCAAAGGGTGTTTGTATTAATCTTTATGATTTGTTTTTAAACATGGCTCATTCTTAAAGCTGCGTCTCCACTACATAGTAAGCTGTGTTACAGCAGTAACTTTTGTCTTGTTCATCTTTGCATCTCCCACTCCTAGAACAGTATCCAGTACATAGTAAACCTTTCGTTTAAAATGCAGGAACCAGTTGCTAAAGGTCTCTTCTCATGCAACTCAATACTGCATAAGTATGGATGGTCTGACATTCTTCAGTATTATCAGGTTTGCACAAAAGACAGAACTGTTACATAGCAATCAAAATTTCCACATATTTTAAAGGTGTCAAACTAAAATGTAGGATTTGAAAAAAAGAAATCAATTACCTGCTGAAAAGTTGCTTCCTCCAGTCCTGATCGGTGGAATTCTGCAAGGATGGCTCTCAAGAAGCTCTGTTCCAGAATGGAGGAATTTCTTAAAGAAAAAGAGATGTGAATTCTCAGAGGTATCTGTACCACCAGCCCAGAGGAAAGCCAAACAAAACTTTGCTGTATCTTTAGAGAAGAGAGAGGAAAAAAACTTGGAAATACTCTCTCCTATATTATTCAGCAAGGATCCCCCCAAATCTTAAAATGGTATGGAAAATGCCACTTTGGAAGTGAGAGAATACAGCAGCTACAACTGAAAAGGTACCAGCATGTTCATTTCATGAGCCAAGTTTATCAGTGTGTGAGAAGTAGTGGCTTCCTTCTTCTTGTTCCAATAGCACTTTATTTCATTGAACTCCTACAGTTCAATAAATAGTAATTATTCTCCTATTATACTAGGTTTACATTTCTGTCTCCCTATAGACTATGCTTCTTAAGAAAAAGGACAATGTCATCATTAAATGTAGGCTGAAGGAGTAAAAGCTTAGGAAAGGCAACAAGCTCTCATGGTCAATCCCAGACTGTAGACCCCTCTGGTCTACCATGGCTCACGTTTGGAAAGCAAAAGCATCTTACCTTTTTTAAAGTTAAATATATATGACATCTAACACTGTGTGAATTTAAGGTATACCACATGTTACTTTGATTCATTTATATATTGTAATATGATTGCCATTGTAGCTCTACTTATCACATTACATAATAGTACAATATTGTTTATATTCATTAGAAGCATCTTACTTGATGGCAGTGATGTATGACGATGAAAACATCTCATCTACTGCTTCCAGTAAGTGGGCTATAGTGACTAGGCCAGGGGAGTCAGGGTTCTGGCAGGAGAACTCACAGATCTCTGAGGCACGCCTACAAATGTCTAGGCAGCGTCGTGCATCTCCAGAGAGCGCTGCTACCTACAAGAAGGAACATTTTAGGTATGTTTATCATTTCAGCCCAGGAGAAAAACCAGCAGATTTTGGGTTCTGCTAAAAAAGGGAAGAGTGCTGGGGGTAGACTTAAGCCTGAAGTACTTAGCCCAGGTGGGAACCTGATGGAAGCCCAGATACAATTATTACACTTACCTGGAATTCTTCCCTGAGTCTAAACCTTTGCCTTGGACTTACAGATAACTGCACAACAGAGAAGGCAGAAATTTTCAGCTTTATTTAATATTAGGGAAATGAAATCTAAAAGAAGAGACCCTTAGCCCAAGACCACTATCAAATAACCTGGAAACAAGGGTTCTTGTTCCTTGTGTGAAGACAGTCAGTGTGCCCCAGAAGCAGTCAGCTAAAACCAGGAGGCTGAGGTCCAGTCTTTTTTGGAGATAATGCCTCTCAGTCTGAGCATCCCTCACAGCATGTGATGAGTTTCAGAGGCTGCCTCGGTAATGGCTCAATGAACCAGAATCAAGAGGGAAGGAAGCCACAAAGTTAGAGGACCCAGAAGAACATGGTTTGATGAATGAAACCAACCCACAATGCCAGTGACTCCACTGTTGCTCCTTTCTTTCCAAGTACACAGAGGCTGAGAGGCTCCTGGGCTCCATTCACAGAAATGACTGTACCCTCATCCAGGCTGATTTAGAAGGCCCTCTGCACTGTAAACTTCACTGAGGGAATTCTTAGACTCACTGCAGCCCGCCAGGATCCCTCAGTATTCCTAGTGCCTGCCAATGATCCCAACGATTTGCTTGAACACCACTGATACCCTGCTTGACAACATCCTGAACTGGTTATTTCCTTCCAAGATTCATGCTACAGTTAAGTTTTAAAAGGCACATTGTATATATACATATATGTGCACATACACGCACACACACACGAACACCATCCCAAGACATTAAAAGTAGTCATCTCTGGGAAGTGGGATTAAGGAGTTTTTAAATTTTTTCTTTATATTTGTTTTCAGAATTCATATTTAAGACATTCAAAACAAAAGTCACTTTTCTAGTAACTGAAGATTCTAGTGACTGAAGTAATTAATTCTTCCCCTCTCTAATCTCCCAAATCCAATTGGTATGGATATCCTGTGATGTTTCTGCCCTATCACTTCTGCCTCCTGTCACCATTACCACTGACTGCCCTGTGAAGCAGTATATGTAGTGGTTAATAACATGGACTCAAGAGCTACTGCAGAGACCTAAAAACAAAAGTGAATAAGGGAACCCTGGGAAGCAAGAAAACACCCAAAGCAGTTCTCTCCCTGAGGACATTCAAGAGTCTTGGTGATTTGTAAACAAGCTTTCTGACTGCTGCTGGGATGAGGGAGGCAGAAGAAAAAGCTGGGACCCACCCAACATGGATCTAACAGAAGACCCTGCATAAACTTAGGACCCGACCTCCACTACAGCTTCAATATGAGTGTGAATGAGAGATCCATCATGCAGAAGGGATAGGGAGAAAAATGGCCTTTTTTAACCTTGGTGCTAGAAAGGTATAGAATGAAAAAAACGGAGTCTTTACAACCACAAGCTCTCACATGGATTTGTAGCCCAAATTTATATTATGTCTTTTAAAAACCACAAGTGGAGAATTTGTTTAAAAATGGTCCATTTTTTAAACTCTTTTGTTGAAAAAGTTGGTAGTGCTCCTTGGTAACTGACAGAAGCAAAAACAAATTCCAAATTAACTCAACTTCAACCAGAGCTTCAATTTGCAAAGTTCTAAGAAACAGGAGCATATAGGGAAAAAAAAATTTAAATCAATACACAAAAACAAGGAAACAAGGCCACAAATGCATGAGAACCAGCAATCAATAGAATAAGACCAACAAAGACTTGATATCATACCTAAAACATACAGAAAACATAAAAGTTTCTTTATATGCAAATGTTAGGTAGAAAGACAGACATGAGAGGGGTAGAGGGAGAATAAAGCCAGTAGAGCTCACTAAAACGGACTCAAAGAGTTAACCAGATAAAACCAGCCAGCCAGAAAAGACTCACAGAGTTAATGAATTAATCAGCTGATCTCACTGAAGATGTCTATATTCCTAGTCTAGTATCTTTACCCTAGAGAATTAGTGTGACCTTGACTTTGCATAATGCTGAACACAGAGTTTGGATTAGGGACTTTACATTTGTTACATTGCTTTGACTGTGTAAGTATCTTGCCTTGCTTCTTCTGGAGGCCCTCACTCTACTCTGTCTAAACCCATGGTCCCTATCTCAATGCCTTATGCTAAATCCTACCCAAAAAGCCGTATAAAACCCCAGACCCTAAACCCTTAGGGGCGCCTCTTCTCTAAGGTTGCCCGTACTCCCCTTTCTTTGAGTGTGTACCTTTTTGCCTTAAATAAAAGCTTCTCACTGCTCAACTTACTATGTTTTGTCTCTGTGCTCTTCCAGTTGTAAGTGTCTTTGTTGCTTTGCTATTTTATCCTATTCTCCAGACTTAAGCACTGGTCTTCACTCCGTCTCTGTCCTAATTCAGATAAGTAGGGAGGGGCTGCTGAGAGCTCTAAGCTCTGGGCTTGCAATTTCCCATCGCCTAGGTGACCCAGACCAGACTGCAGCTGCACGATTGTGCTCTTTAGTAGCCAACCTGAAAATCTCCTTTCTTTGCCTTTGGGAAGTTCTCAGAACGTAATCTCACTCCATCCAGTGCTCTGCAGCTCCCCCAAATCCTGGGGTGGTAGGGACTTAAGTTTCCATGCTGTGCAGAATCAAGCAACTCTTGGTTTAGGAGCTGGCAAGGGATTTGCCCAATGCTGAGCTCGAGTTCAGTGAGCTTCCCTTTCCTCCCTCTGTTCTTTCTTACTCTCTGCTGCCTGCAAGTTCCCTGCTACTCTTGCTGTCATGAATTCCTTCTTCACCTCTGACTTCCCTGCATCTCTGAACTGAATTCCTTCCAAACACAAAGAAATGAGAGACTTGAAATTACAGGCAAGAGTTTTGGGTAAACACAGCATCCAAATTTGATGCCTTCTGAAACCTTATTAAAAGACCAAGAAACTGAAAAGGGAAGCAACAGGAGAGGAGTAAACAATAAAATTCTGCAAGTTGAAAAGACATGGCAGAGTAATAGTTGACTTAGCAGACTGGGGAAAGCCAGTTCCTGAGCTAATAATGAGGAATTCCAGAATAAATTTAAGTTAGATTAAAAATTTTCAAAATGCTTAGCTGTTAGTGGTACTGGAACTGGAGGTATGTTTGGCTAAAATAAGGAGGACTGGTTGCAAGTTAAGAAACTGATGCTCTAGATTAGGAGCCAGCAAACTTCAGCCCACCTTATGTTTTATAAAGTTTTATTGGAACACAGCTCTGTGCATTCATTACATACTGTGAATGGCTGCTTTTACAATCAAGGGCAGAGTTGAATAGTGGTGACAAAGACCATTACGGACACAAAGCCTAAAACATTTACTACCTGGCTGTTCATAAAACAAGTTTGCTGACCCTAGGTCCCTCCCCCACCTCATGCTGTTGAGTGAACATCAAGGCCACTGAGACAGTGTAGGGCTTGTGAGAAAATCTTCTGCCTTGGTAATTTGTACTGTTTCCATAAAACTCCTTGCCCTGGAGATTATCTGTCTTCTACCATGGCAGGAGACCAGAGATTTATTCTCAAGCAAGGATAAAAAATTCTCTGGACAGGGGGACATTAATTATCATTGCAGGGGAAGGGATGTCCCTTACTAAATATAGATGGCTACTGTTCACATGGTGAATTTGAAGAACTCTGCCCTCTCTGACGCTGACCCCATTCCCAGAATACTGCCCTCCTAGGATGCAGGAGTGGGATGCCAGGGTATGGGAAATCAGACTATCCCAAAAGAACTGAAGATCCTGAAATTGTCCCAATTAGATTATCCCACAGTGAAACTCTGAGTGAACAAGCCCCACTCTTGTGCTCAGAGCTCCCAAAATGCTTTTCAATCCCCACTTTTATGCTGCAGTAGACAACCAAGGCATCTGAGGCAAGTATTTAACAACACAGGATAGAGATCAAAACCAACAGGCCAAAGCATCTTGGAGGAAAAGGGAGAAAAAAGCTCAAATAAATAAGATGGCATAAAAAAGGGCCACTCAGAGGAAAAAGAAATTACATGATAGAATTGAAAAACTCTACCCAATAAAAGGATTAGATGGTAACTGTGAGGATCTCACTTTTAAGAAGCAAAGCTAGGAGACAAGCACCCTATCTGGCTCACCTCTCACCCTAGTACCGAATACTGTCACCCACCTCTGAGCAGGTGTTACGTGTGCTGCTGCTACAGGCATGCAGAGTTCACAGCATTTGGGGCAAGAAGAAACTAGAAATAAATTTATAATTCATTTAAGTGCTGAAATACTGTGGGTGTGTGGCTTCTTATGTTCAGCCTGAGGCAGATATTTAACTACTAATCTCAGCAGCCCCTCCCTAATCTGACAGGTTCCTTAGCAGCCTGGGAGACTATCTCATGAATCCAAGTTGGCCTCTCCCATGCGCTTGGAAGACATAAGTACCCAATACCTCAGACCTACCTTGGAGGGCAGACCATGGATCACCCTATAAATGTGATCTCATTTAGTCTTCACAATGACTCTGTGAAGTAGCTATTACTATTCCCATTTTTCAGAGAAGAAAACGAAGGCTCAGAAAGTTTTTAAGTAACTTTCTTAGTGTTAGAGCCAGAATTCAAACCAGCTTTGTCTACCTGACCGACTATACCGCCCTTTTCATTATACAAGGCTTCCTACTCCCTGAACCAATTAACCACTATTTGCAGATAAGCCCACCATACTCACAGCCTTGTAATTAGTTATACAATAAGAGGGGTAAGAAATTTTTCAGAATTTTGTTTCTAGTGTTTTGTGTGTTTTTATAGGACTTCCTAAACTTCTTATCTCCAGAGTACCCAACACAAGGCTTCACACTGACAGGTACTCAACAATACGTGCTGACTAGTTCGTGGGTGCAGCTCCACTGACAGGTACTCAACAATACGTGCTGACTAGTTCGTGGGTGCAGCTAGGAGCTCCTCACAGCTGACTTACCTTCCTGGCTACCAACTGGATAGCATCATCCTCAAAGGCCTTTATATGTTTGAGTCGGGACACTAGGATCTGCTGCAGTTGGCTGTGAGTATAGGGTTGGAAGGACATCCTGGTAAGACCCTAGGGAGCCAAGATGACAGAGAAACAAGTTCACTGATTGCCCACTGATGGTCCTGGTGGAAAGCCACCCTCAAGTCCCCAAACATGATTTCTAAGTCATATATAACAGTTTATACATTTCATCCTGGAACTACCACTGCTTCCAGCTCCTTTCACTACTGACAATGGCCAGTGTGTCCTGTGGGGCAGTAGTTCTTAACTCTTTTTCATTTAGCCTAAAAGAAATGTTTATTCTACCAGAATCATTTAGAGTAGATGAAAGCAGAGGTGCTCTACTCAGTGTAGGTGGGAGGATCTTCAGCTCTGCAATATGCACAGGGACAACTCCTGGCTTCACTCCTCGCCCACAAGGGCAGAGGCCACACCTGCCTTTCACTGCTACACTCAATGAAAGCAGAGGTGCTCTACTCAGTGTAGGTGGGAGGATCTTCAGCTCTGCAATATGCACAGGGACAACTCCTGGCTTCACTCCTCGCCCACAAGGGCAGAGGCCACACCTGCCTTTCACTGCTACACTCCATGCATCTAACACTGCCTGGCAAGAATGAGTGCCTACATACTTAAAAAAAAAATAATTAAACCTGCAGGGCTCTGTGCATTGCAAGAGTGTGCTGGGAGCAGAACACCAAGAAGGTATGTTTGCCAAGAGTCATGCAAACGTGGTGTATTTAAATCTAACATAGAGATTATAAGAAATTTTAGAAACCACATTTCTTACTTTTCCCCTTGCAGTTTTCTGTGTATTCACTTATGCAGACTCCTTGGCCCCGCCTGTGGATCTGTAAGAACAGCTTGAGAATGGCCCTAGGACTTACCAGTCGGCTTGACACCCGGTTCATCATGATGCGCTCTGGCAGATCCATGGTGTTGGCAATGGTCAGGACCACAAGCCGGGCCTCTTTGTGAGTGGGCCAGTCAAACAGATTATACATTACATCTTGTTTCTGAGTCCACAAAAGGTCAAGCTGCCAGGGAGAGTGGAGAGAGATGCAGTGTCAACCACAGAGACTGAGCCAAGGCCCAGAGTGAAGACCCATGACCACTGCTTCAGCTGCATGTGCTTCAGGTCACTTCATGAAAGCCCAAGGAGGTCGACGGACACAGGCCTCTTCCCACCAGATAAATGATAACAGGAGCCAGGACTTCCTGCCCACCTAGCACTGGCTCCGAGAACATCATGTTGAGGAACCCCACTTTTCTGGTCCTCCAAGGGCACCTCCTTACCTCATCCACAAGTAGCACAGTGGTTTCCTGAGAGGTCCCTTGGAAGCAGAACCGCTCTGCCAGCAGTTTTACTGCATGGTTAGCTGTTGCCTTTTGGCCTGTCAGGTTCTACAATGGAGGGAAAAACAGGTATGCTCAACTGTAAGGATCTTACTTTCCTGGGCTTAAAGTTAAATTTGCAAGTAGAGTAAATTATTTAGTCTGAGGACTTCACTATCCTAAACTGCCATCTACGCTAGTCTTAACCGTAATTTGGAAGGAGAAGAAAAGGTACCAAGAGATAACAAAGAAAGTCTGTGGATTTGAAATGCAAATAAGCCACTACACCTCCCAGAAGCCCCTCCACAATCATTACTACAAAACTATTTATAAATGGGCATTACCTGTTGCAAGAGTGAGGTTCAAACCCTGACCTACCTCTAACCCCTCTTCCAGTTTGTGACACTGGCCCTGTGTGCAAATAGTTTCACCATGTTAATAAGTCCTGGCTTCCAATAATTATATATAGTTCCTTGACTTTAAAGTCCTTGAGAGTTAAGAGTTCAGCCTTCACTGTCCTTGTTACCTCTACATAAAGGACAATACCTGTCATGTAATAAACATGTAATATGCACTAAATTAAACGAATCTTTCCCTCTTTATGTGCCACCAAGAAACTGTGTTTTCCAAAAAGCCCGAACAGCTTTGCTCACCTGTAAGATTTGCACATAGACTTGGTGGGGTTCTGTCAGCTTCATACCATTGACCTCAATGTACTGAAAGGGAGGAACATCACTTGCTTGGGCTGCCTGCTGCAGGCAGCGTATCACTTCATGCACAGTTGCAGTCTTCCCTGTCCCAGGGACCCCAGAGATGTACATGCACCTAGTACAAGGGAAGCCCATGAATTAGGTCTGGCTCAGCAGTCTCACACTATCACCAGTAAGGGGTGGGAACGTATACTGAAGGAAGAACCAAAACCCCTAAAATGTGGAGGTAGGTGTAGTCAGACCCATCCTTGGAAGCTAGTCGAAGCAGGACGTGTTTATATAGAATCATTCATCCCACAAGCAATGCTACATGCAAACTGCCTACCCAAAGAAGGCCAGATTCATTTTCTCTAAAAGACAGAATTCCAATTTCTATAGAATTACTTTGACACCAAATGTTGCTTCAGAATCTTTGGGCTTCAGCAACAGTTTTGTCTGTTCTCCTGACGCTAGGGAAAGACTGTTGGCTGAACCAATGCACCTGAGGTGGTATACTAGCAGGGGCCTTTCCCCCAACCATCCTGCCTGCCTCGGCCTGACTCACCCTCCAGTATGGTCAAGGAGTTTGCTTTCCACAAAGTTGTAGATGTCTTGGAATTCCTGTTCCCGACAGGGAAGAGACTCAGGTACAGCAGAAACATGCAGCCTACAGTTGGTGGTAAATGAGGGAAAAGGGGGACCTTAGAAGCATTTCACCATTTACTCAATAATAAATGGAAAAGACATGCCTACATGAAACCTCAATCACGAATCCAAGAGAATGCCTTCATTCTCAAATATCTTCACTTGACCTCAGAATCTTTCTCCACCTAAACCACCCAATTCAGTGGTACTAATCAAGGGTACATATCACCTGGAGAACTTTCCCCAAACCACATGGCTAGACCTCATCCCACAAGAGATTCTGATTCAGCTGATTTCTGGCAGGATCTAGGCTTATGTACTTTGAACAAGTCCCCACATAGTTCTAAAAGGTACCATAACTGAGAGGTGTCCTGATGAATCACTTTCCCTCTCTGAGAAAATGGTGACAGAATCTGTCCATGTTAGTGTACCCAGACACTACTTGACAGGTTTTTTTCTAATGTAAACGCATTCATTTTACTCTCCACCTTTAACATGTACACGAATGACTGCAAATTACTCCCATGTTGTGTGAATGAAAGCTGAGGCCATTTCTGCCTCTCTGAAAGGGCCCCACAAGCAGTGTCACCTCAGCCGGGCCTCCTCAAGCACGCTGGACGGCTCCTGGGCAGCCAGGTTTCGGCTTCGGATCTGGGGGGTGGCGTGACGTGGTGTTCTCGGCTTGGGCTATATTAAAAAAAAAGAGAACATATTTCAGAAAGAAAAAACAAAGCAAAACCCATATCACATCAGCAAAACTGATTTATGATTATCTGATAAAAAGAAAAAGGTGGTAAATTCGTCTTTGTTCCTTTTATATAAAGTACCATGATTCTTCCTCTCTCTCCTCACATTACACATACACTTTGTTCATATTCCAAACATAATCTCTTTTTTTTTTCTAATTTACATACAGTATTAGGCTTTAAAAACAATGTCAATATGAATAAAGAATAAATTTAAGTACGGATTAAATACTACTTAAAAGTAAGTTATTATCTTAAAAGAAATAAAAGCAATTATTAAGAAATCCTAACTACTCTGTTCAAACATAGGGTAGAGCAGAAGGCATAAACTGGGCTTGAGTCATAGGATCCTCTGCTAGATTTGTTTGAAAATATGGTCAAACTTTAGCTCAGGACTTCCATAGTCCATATACAGCACCTGGAGAAACCTCACCAGATTTTTCACTATAAACTCCAAGGTCTACTGTTCAGTCTAGAACAACTCTTCGGTATAGAACAACCCTATTCTTTTTTTCCTGGCTACTGGCTGTCTAGAGCAGGCCTGCCACCCCATCTTCATGGTTTTTCCAAAAAGTTTTCCTTTCTGTGGGGGCACTTAACCTACCCACCCTCTGCTTCCTGTCAGACTATAAAGTGATAATAATGTCTCCACCCCTTCCTCAGGCAGAATGCATTCAGACCCTGTTTAATGGTTCTACATCTATTACCTTGGATAAAACAGGAAAGGAATAACAAAACTTTGCTGAGAAGGTATCAAAAAAGTTGGTGGACTACAAGTCTCTTTTATTATACTAAAAATGCCCTTGCACCCTATATCCCTTCCTCTGGGTGGGACCCAGGAGATGCAATCAAACCAGAACCCGGTGAACTATTTGCATAATAAGGAATACCAGGCAAGATTGCCACCAGTCCAAATGTGATCTGTTGGATTTCCTTCCCTAGAGGTCTTTCTTTGACTTCATTCCAAACCCAGTCACTTTTCTTGATATGGAAAAATGGAGATTAGCTTTAGAAAGTCTCCTAATTAGGCTTTTCCAAACTGTGTTCTAAAGAACAATATACTCCATGAAAAAATCTGCTGGTCAAAGACACATGATAAATCTCTCTTGGAAGGTCACAATAACATTAATAAATTAATGGCCTCGAGAAATCATGAAACCATCTTAACTTTGTTTAATCCAAACATTTCTCAAGAGTAATTGAACCCAGGAAGATCCTCTTTTCTTAATAGCTTTCAGTGTTCTGCTAAAGTTCCACAGGAAGCAGAAGAGACATCCATTTATCTCATCCATTTCACTATTACACAATTCATTACCAACACCTAAGTTAGGCTCCCTGTTTCTCAGGTGTATTAGTGGCACAACAAAGCCAACAACATGGCTCAGCAGCCCTGGGTTCAATACCCACTGAGACTGATGATGCATGTCCAAAGCACTTGACTAGCTTTGGCAGGAAATGCAAAGATAAGGAGCTAATTCTTGTCTTTCCCTCAGAAAGTTGGTTCTTGACCATTTGGTTCTGTATCTTAAAAGGAACTTGAACTCAAATTCACTGTCTATTGTTAAAATAGCCATACAACCCAAAGCAATCTACAGATTCAGTGCAATCCCTATCAAAACACTAAGAAATAAGCTAACCAATGTATTAGGGACCACCAAACAGATTTCTAAGGCTCAAGTATTAAAGGTTTCATTAATTCTGGAAGTCTCAAAATGGCCACCCATGAAAAACTTAAAAAAAAAAATTAAAGACTAAACAATTGGTATCTGCATTTCTGTTGAAGAATAAGCAAAATGCTTACCTTTTCATTTTCTTTGGTGCTAGGTGCCCACCAGAATGTGGATTGCCCCCCAACTCTTTTCTTTGCATAACACATCTTATGTAAATAAAATGTATCCCTTTGAATTTCTGTTTCTCTTGCCCATCTCCTCTAGGATATAAAAACTGTATAACTTGGGCTCTTTGAAACATACCTCCTACCCCAGCTATACAAGTTATATCTTCCTGGGTCTAGAGCTAAAACTTTGGCTCATATAAAACTCTTTTATTTCAAAGTTATTTTTTGAATTTTTCATCAACAATACCAATGGCATTTTTCAATGAACTAGAGCAAGTAATCCTAAAATCTGTATGGAACCACAAAATACTCTGAACAGCCAAAGCAACCTTGAGAAAGAAGAATAAAGCTGGAGGTATCACATGTTCTGATTTCAAACTATATCACAAAGCTCTAATAATCAAGACAGTATGGTACTACCACAAAAACAGACACACAGATCAAAGGACAGAATACAGAGCCCAGAAATAAACCCACACTTATATGGTTAATTAATATGTGACAGAGGAAGCATGAATATACAGTGGGGAAAAGACAGACTGGACATCTACCTGAAAGAGAATAAAAACTGAACCACTGTCTTATACCATACACAATAATAAACTCAAAATGGATTAAAAACCTAAATACAGGACCTGAAACTATAAGACTCCTAGAAAAAATCATAGGCAGTAAACTCCTGAACATCAGCATTGTAATTTTTTTCTAGATATATCTTGCCAGGCAAGGAAAACAAAAGCAAAAATAAACAAGCAGGGCCACATCAAACTAAAAAGCCTCAGTACACAAAAAGAAACCATCAACTTAATGAAAAGGCAATGTACTATATGGGAGAATATGATTGCAAATAATAGGGAGCTAATATCCAAAATATATAAAGTACTCATACAACTTGACACTAAAAAAAAAAATTAAAAATCTGATTAAAAAAATTCTGATTAGAAAATGGGCAGAGGACACAAATAAGCATTATTCCAAATAAGAAATACAGATGACCAACAGACACATGAAAAAATGTTCAATATCACTAATCATCAGGGAAATGTAAATCAAAACCACAATATCACCCCACACCAGTCAGAATGGCTAGTTATCAAAAAAAAAAAAGAACAAATGTAGAAAGGATATGGAGAAAAGGGAACCCTCTTATGCTGCTGGTGGCATTGAAAATTGTTGCAGCCACTATGGAAGGCAATATGGAGGTTTCTCAAAAAGCTAAAAAATAGAAATACCATATGACCTAGTAATTCCACTCCTGGGAATTTACACAAAGAAAACAAAATCACCAACGTGAAAAGATATATGTACTATGTTTATTGCAGCATTATTTATAATAGCCAAGATACAGAAGCAACCTAGGTGTCCAACAATAAATGAATGACTAAAGATGTGATACATATATACAATAGAATATTACTCAGACATAAAAAAAGAGAAATATTGCCATTTGTGACAACATGGATGGACTCAGAGGGTGTTATGCTAAATGAAGTAAGCCAGACAGAGAAAGACAAATACCATATGATTTCATTTATCTGTGAAATCTAAAATACAAATGGACAAATATGCAGAAACTTATAAATACAGAAAAGACTGGTGGTTGCCATAAGAGAAAAGGTGAAATGGATAAAGAGATATAAATACCCAATTCTAAAATAAATTACTCGCAAGGCTGAAAGTACAACATAGGGAATATCATCAATAATATTGTAATATCTTTGTACGTTGATGGATGGTGGCTACAAGTATGGTGATAAGCATTTAGTAATGTACATAACTGATGAAACATTTTGCTCAGTTGAAACAATACTGGATATCAACTATATTTCAAATATATATATAAAAGTCTAGAAAATTTTTAAAAATCACTATGCACTGAATTCATTTTCAGCCCTGGGGTTCACTTATATGCTTTCCTTCATAAACATGTCAAGCAGAATAGCTCTGAATATGACAGACCTATGCTTAGAATGAGCTGTTATGATGTGATCTCAGCCACCACAATTTTTAAACTGAGAAAGTGATGCTTCACTGGAAAATACACCTAAAAGAACCTTACAGTTTTCTTTGGTGTCTTGGAAGGGGTCTGTAAGGATGACTTCATGGAAGAGCGCAGATTCCTGGACACCCTGCTGGGCATTCTCCTTGGAAGGGGTGGTGTAGAAGCCTCTTCCTCCTCACTGTCAGAATCTGAAATCTCTGCTGCTGGGAGAAACTCCTCCTCCTCTTGGTCACTTTTACTATTGCCTAAAAATCTGAATGGTGGGACACATTATTTCTGATAATTCAGTGTTTTAAGTCTAAATAAGACATTCCCTAACAGGTCAGTGCAGATTAGAGGCATTGTAGAGTCTCTCCTGCAACCAAGCAATATAGGATGTGTTCCTCTTCTTGGACCCTTGCTACTGAGATGCTCTACTAAAAGTTTAATATATATTATCTCATTCAATCCCTCAACACTTTTTTGACTTGTACATTACTATTCCCATTTTATAGATGAGGAAACTTGAGACTTGGAAAGGTTAAATAATCTTACAAAGGTGTAACCTAGGTGCTAAATGACAAAGGTCAGGTTCAAATCCAAGTCTATCAGAATTGAAGTTCATGCTTTTAGGCACCCCACTAACAACCTTGGTAAGTGTGATGATTAAAGGGTCCTGGGAGCCACTTTAGCCCAGGGCAATGTTTCTTGCCTTTTAGAAATGATGACATTTATGTGAAATTAATATAATTCCAGACATACTAGGTAAAAGGTGAATTTAAATGGAATAGCAAACAATAATTGAGGAATGTAAGAGGCCTGAAGATATAAGATCATAAATACAAAGATGGCAGTGACAAATGTTTTTTCTGCCTGCCAAGAAGCAGTCTCACCGAAGCTGCTGCCTAATCCGACTCATAGTCAAGAGAGAAGTCTTTCTGCGGATACAGTGGGGTGTAGAGGTGGCTTCATGCTGGACTTCTGGTTCTTTTGCCTCCCTGCAAGGTATCACAGAAGGTTATGGGAAGCTGTTTTAGGCACTCTTTTTACAGCCACTTTGGAAGGATCTAGCTAATCACACTTTGCTAAAAAGTTTATAATTTAAGTTTGACTCAAACCCAGAAATTGAAGTTTTAAATCAAACTCACCACTTCCCTAACTGGAGACCAGAATATACTAATCCCTGGCAGGGTTCCTTGTCCTTTTTTGTTTCTGATGCAGCTATATATTTAACACAAAGTATCTACTAAGCAAACCTATAATGGACCAGGTGCTGGGATATCTGAGCAATAAACACTGATATGTACTTTCTGGCTTATCATATATGTGCAAGCCCATTACTTACAAACGTTGTCTACTGTCAAACTGCAAAATTTATTCTAGATACATCACCTTACTGTACTATATGTGAGAATAGTTTCCAGTTTTTTAAAAAACTAAGAAACTGTTACAATGTGGCACAACCCCACAGAAATACAAAGAATTATTAGAGAATACTATAAGAATCTATATGCTAAAAAGCTGGAAAACCTAGAAGAAATGAACAACTTCCTAGAAAAATACAACCTTCCAAGACTGACCAAGGAAGAAACAGAAAATCTAAAAAGACCAATTACCAGCAACGAAATTGAAACAGTAATCAAAAAACTACCCAAGAACAAAACTCTCAGGCCAGATGGATTCACAGCTGAATTTTATCAGACATATAGAGAAGACATAATACCCATTCTCCTTAAAGTTTTCCAAAAAATAGAAGAGGAGGGAATACTTCCCAACTCATTCTACGAAGCCAGCATCACTCTAATATCAAAACCAGGCAAAGACTCCACCAAAAAAGAAAATTACAGACCAATATCACTGATGAACACAGATGCAAAAATACTCAACAAAATATTAGCAAACCAAATTCAAAAATACATCAAGAGGATCATACACCATAATCAAGGGGGATTCATCTCAGGGATGCAAGGATGGTTCAACATTCAAAAATCCATCAACATCATCCACCACATCAACAAAAAGGACAAAAACCCCATGATCATCGCCATAGACGCTGAAAAAGCATTTGACAAAATTCAACATCCATTTATGATAAAAACTCTCAACAAAATGGGTATAGATGGCAAGTACCTCAACATAATAAAGGCCATATATGACAAACCCACAGCCAACATCATACTTAACAGCAAGAAGCTGAAAACTTTCCCTCTAAGATCAGGAACAAGACAGGGATGCCCACTCTCCCCACTGTTATTCAACATAGTGCTGGAGGTCCAGCCATGGCAATCAGACAAAACAAAGAAATACAAGGCATCCAGAT